AACTTTTTTTGTTCATAAGTTTTTTATAAACAATGAGCGACGGCTAAAACCTTCATATTATTATTCAGGGAGGTGACCTTGATAACATATGTCAAAATTGTTGAGATCGGAAAATAGTCCGTATAACTGCATAATTACCATATATATATATGTATTGTATATATATATATATATATATATGTGTATAAAATAAACGTTCTTTTTTTTAAAAAGAGATTTGACAGAGTTCTATTTTGTTCACGAAGGGCGCGACTAAATTCATCGCCGAAAAGTATCAATAATTTTGTTAACGTTCTAAAATTGACCAAAGTTATGTCCATATCTAATCTTAATAGCAAGCGCGCGAGCATTTTAGTGAGTTAAATTTCATTAAACCGCGCATTTTACTTTCGCTTCATACGCCGCGGTTAAAGGCAAGGCCGAATTTGTTCAATGTCACACAAAGCGCTCAACCGTTAAATTTTGCAGTTGAAGATAATTGAAATCTTGAATCTCTCGATATAACACAACGCGCGATAATACGCCAAGTAATTAAAAAATTAATAATTACTCCAATTATTGGTTCTGATTATTTTCACTCGGAACATCGTGCGACCATTAAAAAGAGCCGTGTATGACAAACGAGCAAAATAAATTGGTCGAAAACAATGGATAATGTATCTGTTACAAGGTATTTCTATTACGCGATTAGTCGCGAGCACGCAATTTCACTTCCATTATTTATGCGCGTCACGCAAATTCGAGTCGCGGATCCGCAGTTCGCCGGTGATTATCCATCAAATTTCCTAACGAGGGAACTGATAATTTATAACGCGGCGGTTCGATTATTCCACACGGCTTGTTACGATCCTTCTCCTCCTCCTCCGGCGAGAGTACAAATTCGTTTCACGTGTCCTCGTTGCTTTTGACAATGTGAAGCGCGATTGATAGACTGATAGCTCCGGCCAACAACACTGCCGCAAGACGATTAATTGTTAATCAATAAAATGTACACGTGTATATAGCGCGTGATAATTTATTAATAATAAAACGTATACGTGAAACTTATTATTTTTAAGACTCTTCTCGGTTCTTTTCTCGGTGAAAGATATCTCTCAGAGACCGTTGTCGAGAAAAATATAATAAAAAAAAATGAATGCAAATTTGATTTAGACAAATAATTATTTAATATTATTTTATTTAAACAAACGATTATTTAATATATTACGTACAGATACGCGAGGATCTCTCTTTGTTTTTTTTTCGAGTTTCCAAACGCGCTCCAATTCAAGCGGGTAGTACGAACGTAAATTGGCTCCGTCGTAATCGCGTAATTACGTCATTAGACGCGTCCATAGCGCTTTATCGTACGTCCCTTATTAGATAGCAACGGTTAATTAAATGTTCGTACTTGGAAAGTCGAGCAGTATTGTGTTACATAGTACGGAAATTATGTTAAGCGGAGCGAGGGGGATGGGCACGGAGGTTCCGGCAAGGCGCGGGCGACTGCAATTAAGCGCATCTTGCGCCGCATTGCATCGCGCGTCATAGATAGACAGAGGGATACGGCGGAGAGAAAGAGAAGAGGAAGGGGAGAGGGCGGAAGCGATAGGGGAGGCGTTTAACTTCATTTTCACGTTACCCCTCTTAACGAGGTTAAAATCGCTGTGACAATCTATCGCCGACGCAATATTGTTAAGCTGCTATCGTTACACCCGATGGATAGATTTCGGGGCACACCGACGAAATGCATCTTTGTTAATGGACTGTCCCCAGACTAACGGGAATATCGGGCGGGAATATCCCGGCTTGCTAATGCGCGTGCCGCATTTAATGACGAGCCCCGTTTCGAGTGGAGAATGTGTCGGCTTGCGGATGCACAAACGATATTAGCCGACAACGGTATTACATTTGCAATATATGCAATATACATTTCGCGCGATTCTCAACTTATTATTTTATGTACGTGTAGTTATAAAACCAATAGGAGATCAAACACCGTTAGTTTATCATTAATGAAATGTTATTGTTACAACCGCAAACGTTTCGACTGATCGATGTCCTTATGCAACAGTTTTGATGAATATGCGCAAATAACGTTAGAGAAATTAACTGTACGTGTTAAAAATATTTTGCAACGCTAAAGAAATAACGAACTACTTACAGTGGACAGCGTTTACTACAAATACTTTTAACATATAGTAATTTCTCCAACGTTATTTGTACATATTCACCAGACAATGTTGCATTGGTAAAGACCGCATGAATTGGTCGAAACGTTTGCAGTTGTACCTCAACATTTTATTAATAATCCAATTCAATACACAACCAATCGGTCTTTGAACTCCTAATGGCCTTAACTACATCTAAAGATTCGAAGCTTTCAACAAATAATTAACTAATAATTAAATAATAATTAAATAACTTTCAACAAATATTGTTAACCCTTTGTGAACAGTAGGTCTCTTAGACCTACTATTCGAAAATTTCAGATCGGTATCTAGTAAAAATTAGTTTTTTTTTTAACGCTTTTATCTTCGAAAATACTAAAGATTTTTTCAATTTTTTGTTTTGATCAAATCGTTTAACTTTCGATTCAAAAGAAAAAAGAAAATGGGAAAAATATTGATTTTTCGAGGAGATATTCGATCTTAAAGTCGCGTGAGTCTCACAGTCTGTCCTAGTAGACGTTTTTGGAGTCTGTCCACGAACAGGATTAATTATTATTTTACACATTAAGTTATGTATTACGCTTTTGTTGTAAATAAAATCGAAACACGATTTGCCACGTGTTAACAACAGAAACCGAAGCGACTTTTAATCTTTCCTTTTTTTGTTTTACTTTGAACTTGGTGCGAGTAATTTTTTTGTTGATCTCCCAAGTGTTTCTTCATTTAGCTTTAAAAAATTCTCTCTGCGTTCTGATACTTATTCCTAGCGCGTTAAATAAAAAAACAGTGGGGAAGAAGCTTTGGTAAATTATGTGTATCCAGAAAAATCGTTAAAATTAAATAATTCAACAATTCCCTGTATCCTCGCCATTGGTATTCTCTCGTGTTTCCATTTTCTCGTGGATTTACATTTACACGATAAGGCAATCCAAAGGCGCATGATGGTGGGTTCGTGTACATATCCAGGTTAAAATGATTAACATACCGTATAACGGACACATAGTAGAGATTACGCCCGCGCATGGATTAGAAAGAGCCTCCCGGGAGATTAATTTCTTCATTCGAATGTATCTCATTTTCTTTCTCCTTTTTTCTTCCTTCCCGTTTTCCTCCTCCACGGATAATTCGACTCGCCTCCTTAGCGCACTTTCTACCTGCGTCCTATCCCGATAACGGCTTATCGAGTTGCCGCGTATTGTTACGTTACGTAATTTGAGTTTAATCTCTAAGTAATTAGCAACGTACACTTCCGGGTAGTTTGCTGCACCCAGGGGATGAATGAAAGTGAGATAGAGAGAAAGAGAGAGCAAGGGATAGAATTGCATCACGCAATTCGCGCCGTTTCATTTTCTTTACTTCCCGCGATATCAAAAAATTGATATCGACAGTCGATCGAATGATTTTCCGACACGTCAGATGCTAATTAAGTTTTCTCTAAGTGACCTTTTTATTTGGCGTATAAGATAAATGATGAAGAAACTTTGATGTAATATAATAAATAAAAAATAAATAAACAAAAATATCGGATTTGATTGGAATACTTAATCAGAAACACGTGACTTTGCGTTTTATTTAATATTTTCTCAAAATACTAAGTTCGTTACAATTACAAGCATACGTGTAAGTACTTTGTGCATTTGTTACCTATAATAACCGAAGGTATAGGTTTCGCTCTGCGTTGTCACTTGATTAATTGTCCTGAAGTTGTTTCAACCCCGAACATTTAAACTCTCGGGGAACTCGCTGCATGCGCGATTTCCGAACTCTAACGAGTCGCAGTTGCGCGGCCGAACAAGCAGAATTGGTCAAACTTTTCAAATTTACGATCCCGGCTTTCTCCCGGTTAGAAGTGTGCATGGGAAATAAACTGGACTAGCTGATTAGGCGAAATCGATATTTTGCATATGTATTCATCCGAAACAAGATTGCGTATCCAGTAATTATATCTCAAACATGAATCGCGCATGTAAAATCGTTATTGGAAATATGTACGTTAGTGCAATATATATGTGATTTTGAACTCGTGAAGTAATTAGAAGATGTTAGAGAGAATCTTGCAAGGCAAAAATCACATTAATATATTAATTTATTAATATATTTACTATTTTATAATATATTTTCAAAAATAGGTAAAATGGACCTCCCAGCCTTAGAGCTATAGTTAGAGGTAGTTAATATAAGATATTTTGTAGATAGGATGGTGGAACGTTTCGATCTTTATTATTTTATTAAACTAATTAAATAAACAAGTCTTATGGAGCCGTTTCGCAGGATGTTTTGCGGAAAATATGTCTTATATGTGTGTACACATATAAGTAAATTCACGTTTCGGCTCTCCATAAGACTTGTTTATTTAATTAGTTTAATAAACTTCATGAGCCAGAGGACGATACTCATATTTAATATTAATTTATAAATCTACGCTGTCGAAATAAGCGTTTATACAGTATCAGACAACATCTTAATAGATGTACAAAATATTGCGAGACAAACTCCAAGTGCCTCGGTGGCCTAACAGGGAAGGCGACGGCCCGGAAAGCCGGAGATTCCAGGTTCGATTCCTGGCTGAGGAGTTTTTTTCGCAATATTTTAAATCAATTAGGGGGGGTATTCGGGGTCTATCATATATGAGATGCAAAACTAGCATCCTATATGAATTTATGAATTGAAATTTCAATTCGAAAAAACACGTGAAAAACGTGAATTTACTTATATGTGTACACACATATAAAACATATTTTCCGCAAGACATCCCGCGAAACGGCTCTCCATAAGACTTGTTTATTTAATTAGTTTAATAAACTTCATGAGCCAGAGGACGATACTCATATTTAATATTAATTTATTATTTTAGATCATCTTCAGCCACTGAATGAAAGTACATAAAAAAAATACATAACAAAATTAGAAGAATTTAACAAGGATCGTACATGAATTACATATTGAGTATTATTATTATATATGGCAAGCCACTTACCTTTAAGAGAAAACAACATCGAAAGACGCAATCGACTGTCAACATGTGAAAGAAGTCAAGTCGAAAAAACAACAAACAACATGTTGGTGGATTAATTCGTTTTTGCATTGAGTTTGTTTAAGAGAAATTAAGGTAAATATGCATAAAAACGGAGCACCCTCGGAAGTCATTGTCCTTGACATATGTTGTCAAGGACACTTCCCTGAACAACAATCTGAAGGTTTTAGCCGTCGCTCGTTGTTCGTTAAAAAATTATAAACAAAAGAAATATCATAAATGAAGTCTTATTTTCCGACATCGTGTACGTTTTGTTCGTGTTGTAAGCGTGTAGGTAGGGAGGGCTGCGCTCCCCCCCCCCGCGCGGAAAATTGAAGAACAAATTTTGATTGAGTGTCGCTTTATGTCGAGAGAATATACACTTTGCTTACACGGTTACAATACGAACAAGAAGAACATAAAAAAAGTAGTTTTGTATTAAGTGGCCTTTTAGGTTTGTTTACATTTTTCAACATATTGTCGTAGTTTAGTTCTCCGTGAGTGAACAAGCGTTAAACATGTTGCTACACGAATTTCTTCATTTGACGTACAATTTAGATGAACTAATAAACTATTTGTGCAATAATGTAGGTGACAAGCAGAAACTTCTACATATATTGTAAACAGAATTTAAATAAAAAAACGGTTTATACCCCACTCTTTAGACAGGTGATAAAGGCAGGTAGAAGTAAACAGGTACAGACAGGGAACAACAGAGTTTCGGTTGAGTCGTCTCGGCGTATACCGTGTTTGGCAAAATATACATTATCATTCAGCATCCTGACAAGATCGACTTTATATACTCGACCGTTATCGTCTCGTTTTCACCTATCCTATCCTACAATAAAAAAGTAATACGCCAACAAATTATTCTTTAAATAACGCCAACAAATTTATTCTTTAAATAACAACGAATAACAATTATGTATTATAATAACAACATAGCATTGTAGAATATTGCAAATAAAATAAACACTATTACCATGAAGCGACACTTAATCAAAATTCGTTCTTCAATTTTCCGCACGGGGGGAGCAGGAGAGAGGGGCGAAGCCCCCCTGCCTACACACTTACAACACGAACAAAACGTACACGGTGTCGGAAAATAAGACTTCATTTATGATATTTCTTTTGTTTATGATTTTTTAACGAACAACGAGCGACGGCTAAAACCTTCAGATTGTTCAGGGAAGTGTTCTTGACAACATATGTCAAGGACAATGACCTCCGAGGGTGCTCCGTTCTTATGCATATTTACCGAAATTAATAAATAAGAAAATGTGAAATTGGTCAAGAAAATAAAATTTTTATATATTAAATATAAAAGGTAATAAATATAAAAATTGAACGATAGTATAAAAGAAGAAAGTCAAATTGTCATTAGGTTAAAATAAATAAAAATTGCGTACATCAGGATAACATGAAGTCATATTAAAAAACTAACCATAAAGAAAGAGTCAATAAAAACAATAATACTTACTGAGTAATTGGTAAATTAAACATAAAATACGTTGAATTCTCTCACACAGATAACACAAGGCATCTCACAAGGCACAAACATCTCGCATAACAGACGACGTGTAAATGCGAGAAAAACAAGGTAGGAAAAACAAATGAAGGAAAAGACCAGTCTGAGAAGAAGGAGAGAACCGAGATATAAAAGATTATCTAATCATTTTCAAAATTAGCGGAGTATATATAGAATCTAACAAATCTGTGTCTTTCATTAAATTAATGCCGTGTTTCTGCATTTTTATGTGCAACATCTCTGAAATAAGTCTCCTATGATAAAACTATTCATTGTCGAGTATCTGGACATTATTCCAAGCAAAATCGTGTCCTAGATCACTCCGATGTTTGCTGATTACGACGGACTAACGATCGTAATTTAAGTAAAAATTGCGTTGATGTTCAGTAATTCTTGTATGCAATTGTCTGCTTGTTTGGCCTATATAAGAGGCATTGCAGGAAGAACAGTTAATTTTATATACAACGCGTTACTGCTTCTATCACGATCGAGAGTGTCTTTATGCACTTTAATGTAACTATTTAAAGAATTTTGATTTCTGTATGATAGTCTGAAATTAAATGTCTTCTACGTTCTTGAGAATTTATCAGTAACTCCTGGCAAAAAAGGAACAGTAAAAAAATTCTTCTCTCAATTCAAACAAGTCTTATGAGATGCAGTCTCACCACTCATCCTGTTTAATTTTTTGTTAAATAAACAATGTAATTTCTTGTAAACTATCTTAAAAATCAAATCGAGAAGGTAATCATTGATTAACTGCATGACCCTGATAAGATTCTCTCTATGGAATTTCGGGTGAGAAAGTAAGAAAGCCCTGTCGATAATGCCAAACATAACTCCAATTTTTTGTTTGAAAGGATGTTGTGAGTAAAAATTAAGATAATGTCCTGAAAAAGTGGGCTTATGATACCAATCAAGAATCAGCATATCATCGACAACAGAAATAGACGTATCTAGAAAATTAATTGTTCTATTTTCCTCTAATTCGCGCGCGATCGTAAATTTAAGTCTGGAATGGTAAGAATTAAATTTACTGGCAATAATATCGACCTTATCCCTCGAAGCAGCCATGAGGATATCGTCTACGTATCGATAATAAAAAGGTAAACTCAAATTTTAAGTATTGAGAACGTTTTCTTCGAGGTCTTGTAGAACAAGGTCGGCCATGATGGGAGAGAGAGGAGAACCCATAGGGGTACCAAATGTCTGTTGGTAAGTGGTGCCGTTGAAGGTAAAAAATGTCGATGATAGTACAAATTCAAGGCCTTTAATGAATGAGTCAAGAGAGATGTTTGTGTGATTCTTGATATAGTCCCACCTCTTTCTCACCTCTTCAATAGCTAAGTCAAGAAGTATATTGGTGAATAGTAAGAGTACATAGAGAGAAAGTAATAAATCCGAGCTTTTAATGCGCAAACCCGATAAACCTCCGAAAAGATCAAAACTGTTTTTTACAAAGCTGCGTGGCTTAGGTAGATTCTTTTACAAAATATCATGTAACAGCGTGGTGTTTGTACAAGAGACTATAATTCTATAAGGAATGCTTGGCTTATGGATCTTCGGAAGTCCGTAGGCTCTAGGAAGTGGCTTGTCATTAAATCAAAGTATAGTAAACATTCGTGCTAATGTAGTTCGCATTTTTCCAGGCCCTTAGACACTCATTTAACTTATTTTAAATTCTTTTTGCCGGATTCTTTATATTAGTTTTCACGTAAGTATCAGTATCACTTAGCATATATTCCATCTTCGCGACATAATCATCTTTAAAGCTACAGTGACATTACCCTTATCAGCTTTTGTAAATATGATTTTTGGGTGATCTTTAACAAAAGATCTAGTAAGTTCCACACTCTCAACAATATTTATCTCAACGCTATTTAGACAAGGATGTTTATTGTAGAAAAGTTCGAGAGATGAAAACACAAGTGAGCATATATTAGATTTAACAATCTGATCAGAGTGTCTAATGTTGTTTTCGGTATCTTTAATGACATCCAGAACTAACTGCTTTTTGTATTGAGTAGGTAAACAGAATTTCTCTCCTAGAGAGAGAAGATTACAGACTGAGTCAGGGATGTCACCAGAAGTAAGATTGATAAACCACTTCTCTTTTAGATAGTTCAAATCATTAATCCCGTTCAAATTATCGGGTTTGATGGTAATTTTTTTTACACGTGAGTTATCCACCAAGTGAGGTGCATTATACGAAAAACTGTATTGAGAGTGGCTATCATCAATGTCACTGTTAGGCGGACAAGTCGCAAAAAAGATTACACTTCTTACAGAATAAAGAAATTAAGGATGCTCATTTTTCTTTAACTGGGCTTCGTCGTAAACTCTTACATTTAACTAACTTCCTTTCGTTAATCTTGCCTACGTATTGTTGGAACAGGTTTTTCGACACTCAGGGTATTTCTTTTTGCATATTGAAACATCGGGAATATAAAAAAATGGATACAAAAATTACTCGGTTTGAAATTTTTTAGTGGGTCTAAGAGACCCATGTCTGTTTTCGAAAAGTTATTACTTAGAATATTTTGGACGCGTGTTTTTTCACTTGTTGTTGTTACATTCTTAAAAGTGCCGCTTCTTACAATTTTGTTTTGATTGGCGTAGCTCCCGTCGCTACTCAGTTATTTGCAACGTCACGCAACGAGCCAGACACGTGTCGCGTTTGCTTTGTAATTTTGGTTTCCGAATTAGAAGCGCAAATTTGTATTGGGTGTGTCTAGAAAACATCGGGTGGTCGTTGTAAACTGTTAATTAACACTTGTGATCACGATTAATAGCTTTCCGAATTCGTAATCGATTCAATTTTCGTCTCGTCGGAACTTCGCTTGTGGAACGGAGTGAAGTCGCGCACAAGAGCGCAAGGTTGCCCTTGGATTGTCATAGGTCGCGGTAGCGTTGCGAGCGAACGTATTGAGTATCTTTTGCAAGTGTTTATTATTGCGTCGCGAGTTTTAAACGAAAACTCTCGAATGTACGATAGGCATCGGAAGTGCCGTGAAAAAGAATACGTAGTTTTGGGC